CAATATATTCAAAATCACTTTCATATCCAATTAGACATTTATAAATGAAATTTACTTACAAAACTTTAAACCAATAATTGCATACAATAACATGAACCAAAATTAAACTATAATTTTTATACAGTATCAACGAATCTGTATATCTATTTTTATTTTATTTAACAGAAAAATAAACCAAATTAATTCACACGATTAGTGTTCAAGTCTGTCATTGTTTTCTGGGTCGTGTAGTTCTTTGATATGACCTTCAAAATCTGAAAAATACATTATTGCTAAAAAATAAAAATAAAATAAGAGGATTCTATTTCGTAAAAGATTTGTCATTCAAATTTTATAATATAAAAACAATCTTAAAATATGAGGATTCTATATAGTTTAAGAATCCAATCTTCTTATATAAGGACATAATTAATCAAACACATTTTATATAAGAAATGTAACATTCAATATATATCCTAAAAAATATCATTTTTTATTATTTATATTTTAAGAATTCTTTAAATTAACCTTAGGATTATATATAGTTCAAGAATCCAATCTCCTTAGAATTCTTTAAATTAATTTGACGATTGTACATAGTTTAAGAATCCAATCTCCTTACAATAACAACATAATTAAACAGACACACAATTTATTTAAAAAAATTTAGATTCAATTTATACAAACACACGACTTCAATAAATTAATATATTTTTGAAAGTATTAAATCAGTCATCAAATTTTAATATATCGCCGAATATGAGTCGAATTTAATGTTATAATCTAAATTGTGATTAATAGATAGATTTGTCATTTACTCTAATAGATTCAGAAATACCATTCTAGTGCTCATAAAAATCATCTACCAATTTTCTTCTCTTTGTATAAATAACTACTATGGAAAAAATTTGTTATAATATCGTCCAAATTTTTAAAAATCCCAACTGTATTTTCAATTATACAATTCTATAGGAAAAAAATGTGTCATTTATATTCTAAACTAAATAATATATGTCAGATAGAATATTTCAACAAACTGTTGGATTGTCCTTTGTATAAATCAATACTATGGGAATAATCCATTAAACTATCATTAGATTTTATAAAATCTCAACATTATTTCCAATGATATAATTACACAAAAAAATACAACGTTTAAATTCTAAACTAAATAAATACATGACTGATTGCATATTTCAACAATGAACTAGTATTAGTAATTCATGTATAAAATAGTGTTTATTTGATTAAAAATATATACGTGTTCGACCTATGTTTTAAAATATAAATAAACAATGAGTCCATCTTTTAATTGTAAAAATAATTTTTAATATTTTAATCCTAATGCTATATTAATTGCAGAACATGTTATTTGGAGCAGAATATCGTGCCAATATGTTTTACCCAAAGTATAATGCCAACATATATTTAGTTAATTAATTCATACCCTACACCAAAATTTTTACCCAAACCATTCCGCTCATAAATCATAAACAGTCAATTGATTTGAAATAAATCAAACGCAAAATTTTGAGTTAATATCATCTATCATAAAATTCAATACTATACTTAAAATCACCGATAATACGGCCTAATTAATTGCTAATTTCAGTTTTAGGCTTAACATATTTAACAATGTCATAAAATTATATATATATATATATGTGTGTGTGTGTGTGTGTGTGATTTTTTTAATTGTTATGAGAAAGAACAAGTTCTAAAAATGAATAGAATGCATATATGCCACAATATTTATTTTGGATTTGCATAAATATTTTTAAATTAATAACATAACTAAATAATATTAATGTATATTAAATATTTATCATTATATATATATATATAGATAAAGACTTCTACTTTTATAAGTGTTATAAATGATAAATAATAATGACAGTATACGACAATAAATTTGATAAAATAATAGTTGAGTATTATGATGAATAAAAATAAGTAAAATTATTATTTTGTTTATATCAAAAAATAAATATAGTTGTTAAAATATTATTTATTAATATAAATGGTTAGCAAGCTAATGCATTTATAAATAAAGTTTTAAAAAAGGTTGTAAAAAACAAGTTCGTCGTGCATCGCACGGGATACTCACTAGTGAAATTATAAATAGCTAATATAATCATATCGATATCTGTAAATAAGAAATCATCTCATGTAATTTGTAAGTTTGTGGTAAGTTCAGGTCCAGACACTTTCTATTTTTCAATATGTCTGATTGAATGCATGCATCTCTGTCGGCAAGCACTTAAAGTTGAAAACTCTTGCCTTTATATGGCGGCGGAAGGTTCAAATCTAGTGACTCCTCCTTCCATCCAATAGTTTGCATGGCGCGACAACATTTTCTTCCCTGCATCTTTTGAGCCTGCTTGTTGCAAGTGAAAGAATATGAAATACGTTAAAACCAATTCAAATATATATATATATATATATATGTATATATATGTATATATATATTCTCTTTTTTTTTAACCACCCATTGCGGATGAGGAAGAAAATCAACGTGGGTAAGTGGAAGACTACATGAGTGGTTTATATATGAATAATTAATAGATACAAATAGTGTTAATTTATGTTTTCAATTGAGGGGCACGGGTCCCTGTAGATTCAATTTGTAATATAGTATATATATATATATATATATATATAACATGACTTTATTTTTCTATTCATTTTAAATATTAATTAACGATCTTTACCTTTTTCTAATTATTACTAAAGTATAATACAATATTTTTTTATATTTTTTAAAATTAACAAAGTACAAACTTTTAATCTTTGTTTTTCTTTTGGAAAATAAGTTAATCTTAATTGAACCAAACTAGTTATTAGCTCAAGTATGATTATAATTATTTTAAAATAAGATTTTTATATTTTTTAATTAACAGAATAGATACTATTACGGTTAATGTAGCGAGATAACATATATATTTTACTTGGGCTGATTTTCGGTCTTTTGATGTTATTTAAAAATTAGTATATAAGTCAAGCATTTACGACATTAATCATCAAAATGAATTTTTTAATTGAAATTCAAATTTCAATAAAATATTATTATGCATATTTAATTTCAACAATTAATTATTATTTTTTATTCGAATGAAATATATCCAGAGTCAACCACCTACTTATAACAAGTAAATAAATAAATCACACATGCACGTACTGTACGAATATCACTATCTAAATAAAGGAGTCAACCACCTACTTATAACAACTAAATAAATAAATCACATATGCACCATAAGAATATCACTTCTACATATCTCCTGAATAATTAAATTTAAAGGGATCGCCATGTTATTTTTAAAAGTAAAATTCCAAGTTTTTAAAAATAAGAATAAATTTTATCATTAATTATCTAATTTAAAACTTTTTAACGGGCATTACTCAAACAATATTTTAACTTAACTCAATTCACTGTTGAATAAATAGAACTTTATTGTCCAAAATCACATCACCACAGTTCCCCACGATATAATGACCCATAATCAACAACGAAATTTCTTACCAAGTTCAACCAGTACAAAAATCTTAAAACCATACAATACACGAGTTTGAAAACGTTAAGAGGAAGCAAATAAAACACAGTTTAAAACAAGATAAACTACACTCGTCTCGTCATCGCCACGACCACCAAGTCAACCTGAAAAGATAGAAATAATGGGGGTGAGAAAATGACAAGCTCACCGCGTGAATTACCATGCAATATATTCAATATAATAACACAAATCACAACGTCTGCCTCCGATATTGCCCTACGCTCATGTGTATACACTTTTATCGTCAGAATTCTCAATGATGAGAGCTAATCCGTAGGAATGCTCAACAACAAGAGCTAACCCTACCGACATTACCATCGACGAGAAAAATACTCTAATTATGTTGATGTATTTAGTATTTAGCATTAGATATTTTCTATTGTACCCTTATTATCTTAGTTTCTTAAGGACCAAGCTATTGTAAAACCTAATTGTACATTTATATATATATGAGAAGGGCGAGCCGCAAGACATCAGATTAGATGTCGCAAATCATTCTTTCTCTTCTGTTTCGTTCTTGTCATGGTATCAGAGACAATATTTTTTTCGTTAGTTCTCCTCTCTACTGACATGGCCATGTCCGGTGAAGGCTCATATTTTTTTTCGTTCTAGAGCAGGATAATATTTTTCTTTTTCTTCTCGTCAGTTCTCCTCTCTACTGACATCGCCATGTCCGGTGAAGGCTCAGGTTCAGGCTCGGCTGCTATTCTCAGAAAAACGATCTCTCCATACGACATCACTTCGAGCGACAATCCGGGCCTTTTGATCACTCAAGTTCAATTAAAGGGAGACAACAATTATGAAGAATGGTCCCGTAGCATCCGCACCGCTCTTCGTGCACGCAAGAAGTTTGGATTTTTAGATGGTTCGATCGTGCGACCAGCCCTTGACTCCGATTTGTTTGAAGATTGGCAAGCCAACAATGCCCTCTTGCTATCCTGGCTTATGAACAGTATTGATGCCACGCTCCGATCGTCTGTGGTGGAGCCGGAACTTGCGGCAGATTTATGGTGCTCTTTGAAAGAACGATTTACAATGAAGAACGGTCCTCGCATTCAACAACTCAAATCGGATCTGGCGGCTTGTAAGCAGAAGGGTTTGAGTATTGAAGCATACTACGGTAAGATCACCAAACTTTGGGAAGAATTAGCTGATTATGAGAAACCCCCCATGTGTCGTTGTGGTCTTTGTGAGTGCAATTTGAAAGCCGAATGGGATCGTAAATATGAAAGTGAAAAAGTTCATCAATTTCTAAAAGGACTAGACGCAACCCTCTATGGCGCTACTCGTTCGAATTTACTGGCCCAGGAACCGCTCCCGACATTAAATCGAGTTTATTCTACTTGCATCCAGGAAGAGAGGATGCGAACCATCTCCCTCGTCGACGATACCATAGAATCGGCTGCTGGTTTTGCCATCCGCACAGGTCAATCCGCTCTTTCTCGCGGACAGGATATTGTCTATAACATGCGGATTGGTGACGGACACACAGGTGGAGGGCGTGACAGTCACGTCTCTTCTCATGTGGCGGGCTTCTCACCACAGATGTCTGGCTCAAAGCCCGATCACCCTGGCAGCGGCGGTGTTCCAAACAGCGGCGGAGGTCGGCAGCGTGTCTGTTACAACTGCGGGAAAAGCGGACATCTCGCGGCCAGCTGTTTTGAGGTTCTCGGTTATCCCGACTGGTACCCCCGTGGTGGTGCTGGCCGCAGAGGTGGTAGGCGCGGCCGCGGCGGTCGTGGCGGGGGTGCTCCTGCCCAAGCAAACGTTGCCGCCACCGCCATGCAAGTTGGGACCTCCTCAAATGCCGGACTTAGCTCCTCCGATCGTGTTATCAGTGGATTGACTGATGAACAGTGGACTCAGCTTGTTCATTTGGTTAACTCTGCTAAACAGGACAGTAAGTCGTCATCTGGTAAGCGAAGTTTATATGATTGGATGTATGATTGTGGTGCTTCTCACCATATGACCGGTTTCTTAGAATTTTTGTGTGATGTTCGTGACATACCTGCTCGTCCTGTTCAGTTACCCAATGGATCCTTGACATCAGCCAGTAAATTGGGCACTGTTTATTTGGGGTCCTCTATTGTTTTACATGATGTCTTATTTGTACCCAGCTTACAGTGTAGTTTGATATCTTTGTTCCAGTTGTTGGATAAGTCTGGCTGTACCGCACATTTTACTAACAAGTTCTGTGTCGTTCAGGATTGCACTTCGAAGATGGTGACTGGAGCGGGTGAGCAGATAGGGGGACTCTATTTTTTCCGGGGGACAGTATCAGTTGCGTCTTCTCGAGTAGTGAAAGTTTCTTCTGATTTATGGCATCAACGGTTGGGACATCCATCGGATCGTGTTTTGTCACATTTGTCTTTTATTGATTCTCAGTCTTCTGTTTCGAATAAGTCATGTGATGTTTGCTTTCGGGCCAAACAGACAAAGGACAGTTTTTCTCTTAGTCATACTGTCAGTAGTGGTATTTTTCATTTGGTACATTGTGACTTGTGGGGGCCCTATCGGGTTCCTACCTTTTGTGGATCTCGTTATTTCTTGACCGTTGTTGATGATTATTCTCGTTGTGTTTGGATTTATCTACTTGGTGATAAAACAGAAGTGTCTTCGGTCTTAATGAATTTTTTTGCTATGGTTAAGCGTCAATTTGACACATTGGTGCGTGTGGTTCGCAGTGACAATGGCACTGAGTTTATGAGTATGACTGATTATTTTCATCGTGAAGGTATTTTGCATGAGACCTCTTGTGTTGGTACCCCTCAGCAGAATGGCCGTGTTGAACGGAAACATCAACATATTCTTAATGTGGCTCGTGCGTTGCGATTTCAAGCCCATCTGCCTCTTAAATTTTGGGGCTATTGTGTTCTTACTGCTGCTCATTTGATTAATCGAACTCCCACGCGTGTTTTGGGTAACAAAACCCCGTATGAGATGCTCTATGGAAAGTTGCCTGATTATTCTCGGTTACGTGTCTTTGGGTGTTTGTGTTATGTGTATAACCGGGACCGTCGTGGCGACAAATTTGCTAGTCGCAGTCATAAAGGTGTGTTCGTGGGCTATCCTCTTGGGCAGAAAGGCTGGCGGGTCTATGATTTGGATCGAAAAATTTTTTTAGTTTCTCGTGACATTGACTTCGTTGAGACTGACTTTCCCTATGAGGAGTCTCCTCCGGCCTCTTTACCCACTTCGGTCCCTCCTGTTGTGACTTGGCCTCCTGTGTCGGATCCAGATGACGATCATTCGATTGTAGTGCCACCTGCGGCTGTGACTGATCCATCACTCCCTTCCGGCCCTTCCGATGACAGGGGGGGTCCTTCGGTTGCTGCTGATCCCGACAATGTGTTGGGTCGTGGTCATCGCACCCGCTATCCCTCGAGCCGCCTCCGTGATTTTGTTACTGCTACTGTCTGTCCCCCTGGTCCCTCTGCTGCTCTGCCTACTTCCTCACCTTCTTCAGGTACGCCTTATCCTATCGCACATTATGTTAGTTGTGATTCTTTCTCATCGGTCCACAAGTCATTTTTGGCAGCTCTTTCTTCTGCTGTCGAGCCTCGTACATTTGCTGAGGCAGCCACTGATAGTCGATGGCGAGGAGCCATGCAGAATGAAATCCAGGCTCTCGAGAATAATGGCACTTGGGAGGTGGTTTCTCTTCCTCCTGGGAAACGTGCTATCGGTTGTAAATGGATTTACAAGATTAAATATCGTTCGGACGGCGCTGTTGAGCGCTATAAAGCGCGACTGGTGATTCTAGGTAGCAATCAAGTCGAAGGGATTGATTATCATGAGACTTTTGCCCCTGTTGCTAAAATGGTGACAGTACGGACTTTCTTAGCTGTTGCTTCCGCTCGTAAGTGGGAAGTTCATCAAATGGATGTCCACAATGCCTTTCTTCATGGTGACTTGGATGAGGAGGTCTACATGAAGCTTCCTCCTGGCTTTCGGACTGGTGATGATGGACGTGTATGTCGTTTGCGTCGCTCTCTCTATGGATTAAAGCAGGCTCCTCGGTGCTGGTTTGCGAAGCTGGCTACTTCTCTTAGTCAGTATGGTTTCTCTCAGTCACACTCTGATTACTCTTTATTTACCTTGCATCGTGGGTCTGTTCACCTGCAGGTGTTGGTGTATGTTGATGACCTTCTTGTCTCTGGCAATGATCCTGTGTCCATTGGGGCCTTTAAGAGCTACTTGAGTCGCTGCTTTCACATGAAGGATTTGGGTTTCTTGAAATATTTTTTGGGTATTGAGGTAGCTCGCAACACTTCTGGCATTTTTTTGTGCCAGCGAAAATATGCTTTGGACATCATTTCCGAGGTTGGTTTATTGGGAGCTAAGCCGGTGGAGTTTCCGCTGGAACAGAATCATCGTCTTCTTGACGATGCTAGCCCCTTCTTCGATGACTCGGAAGCATATCGGCGCCTGGTTGGTCGTTTAATTTATTTGGCTGTTACACGTCCCGAGTTATCTTACTCAGTGCATGTTCTTGCTCAGTTTATGCATCAACCTCGGCGATCACATTGGGAGGCTGCGTTGCGAGTTGTTCGATACATGAAGGGCTCCCCTGGGCAAGGTATTCTGCTTCGCTCTGACTCTGATCTTCAACTCTCTGGGTGGTGTGATTCTGACTGGGCTGCATGTCCTCTTACTCGTCGGTCTCTTAGTGGTTGGTTTGTTCAGTTGGGCCAGTCTCCGATTTCTTGGCGTACCAAGAAACAGCACACTGTGGCACGTTCTTCTGCAGAGGCTGAGTATCGGGCTATGGCTACTGTTATTTGTGAGCTTAAGTGGTTAAAAGGTTTGCTGCACAGCCTTGGTTCGACATCTTATGTTCACACTCGTTCACAGTTGGCTGATCTTTTTACTAAGGCACTTGGAAAGCGCGAGTTCGACTTTTTCCTTAGCAAGTTGGGCATTCGGAATCCCCATGCTCCAACTTGAGGGGGGGTGTTGATGTATTTAGTATTTAGCATTAGATATTTTCTATTGTACCCTTATTATCTTAGTTTCTTAAGGACCAAGCTATTGTAAAACTTAATTGTACATTTATATATATATGAGAAGGGCGAGCCGCAAGACATCAGATTAGATGTCGTAAATCATTCTTTCTCTTCTGTTTCGTTCTTGTCAAATTAGGCAAAAATAGGTCAACCGTTGGAATTCTGAACAACGAGAGACCCTATCATAGACCAGCTGTTCACATGCATATATTGATTATAAAAACACACGATTATAGAGAATAATTGCGCAGAAAAGTTTATCAACACCCACATGTTCGGATAAGACAGATAACATGCTACAACGGCTCGGTAGGTTGAGGCTCGACTCCTCAGGTACTCAGTTACTCCCTTGGCTACGCTCGCCTCAAGGATGTTGCTCCTCCTTTGATGGCTCAAATTCTGGCTCTTTTGGCCTCTCTCTTTTCTCCCATTGCTTACCAAGACGAGCTACTACATCATAGAAGTTAACTCGTGGGGTTCCTATAGCCCGTGGGACTCCTTCATTCTGTCTTATGAGTTCGCCGCATATCTCTTCAGTTATATTCCTCCAAGGCAGGGGCGTAGCCAAAAAAAAAAAATTAACTCGGGGCTGCATATTATTGTAGCTATTATTGGAATTGAATAGACATGGTCATGGACAAGGCCGACCGGCTTATGATTTTGACCAGTTCGGTTCATGTTCAATACTTTATAGTTTATACATTTCGAACCGGCGGTTTCGGTTTTGAACTAGAACCGGAGATTCGGCCTTTTTTTTTAAAAAAAATATATATATATTTTTTAATTATATTTATTTCTTTTAATCAAACGGGCGGCCAAGAACCGACAACTCAATGAACTGGCCAATGCATGCATATGTTCGGGCTGACGATTTCAACCTGGAATCGGTTTTGCTATGACTAGAACCGAATTATCTATTAACATACTTAGGTTCAAATTGTGAAAACTCAATTTCGACTTGTTTATACATTTAAACAAGTCAAACTCAAATATCTAATTGACCTTGTCGATCAAACAAGTAGAGTCGAACATGTTTGCAATCAACTCTGTAAGAGTTTTTTTTTTCTACGAAATGAGGCCAAATTAATTATAGTAGGCGAATTCAACAAAACTCGAACGAAAATTGTTAACAAACTGCAATGAGACAAGCCCAAAATAGTCCGCAGGAGAAATGTGCGTCAAGCTTAATTATCCAACCCATTTGGTGCTTGTCAAATCAACCCATTAAGAATTTAAAAGGCATTAGAGTGTTGAGTCACATTATAAACTCAATTGATAAAAATTTAATAAAAGCATAATTGTCATTTGACAATAAATGATTGTCTCCTTTCCTCTCACTACGATCATCACTTATCCACCATTGTTGTCAAATGAAAATTTGACCTCAATCTTGAGATATCCAGTCCGGAATTAGATGGGGCTAAACAAAAAATTATATGGGGCTATATATAAAGTTTTCAAAAATTTAAAGTTAGATTATTTTTATGGACATGGGGCTGGAGCCCACCGTAGTCCAAGGGTGGCTCCGCCCCTGCTCCAAGGCAATATTAGGACTTCCTTGAGTTTTGCCAGCACTGGATACAGAAATTTTATCACCCAGGGCACTATAAAATAAAAAAGTACTCGAAATTTTTATGTCGTGCTTATGACATACGATCCATTCACATTCTTCTTCTCTTATTTCTTTGAGTTGTTTAGGTCATTCTTGTTTATCAAATTTTTAGAAAAAAAACTAGAAAAAAATCTATCTCAGTTCAAAATCTAACTCAACTTTAACTTAACCCCACTATCCTCAATATTATCAATATAATTAAATAATATCATTAAATCATTCTTACACACTACATCAACTTTAATTCACTATTCAAAGACTCACATAATTTTAACTATCTATCATTTTCAATCATTTATCTCATACTTTGGCATCAAATCAATTTTAATTACTTTATTTTAAATATTATTTTAATACATTCTTAAATTTTCATGAACAACTAATCATACTAATTTTTTCAAATAAACTTTAGTTAACACAAAAAATAAAATAAGAACCAATTTTTTTCTAGGTTTTTATAAACAAATACTTGCCCTAACGAAATCCATAACATTGACAATATATTGATCATCCCTTTAGAATATTTATAATTCTAGATATAACTCATTCATTACACCTAAAATTCGTCTCATTAGAAGAAGACAAAATATGAAATCAAAGGATTGTATCTACACAATGTATCTACACAATCAACAAATTACATTGTCTTCTTTGATCAGCAATAGCCTCATCCTCGATTATCATTTCAACAAATTTAATTATAGAAGAGAACATAGATATAATGCTCAACTTCATTTATATAGACTATTAAGAAAAACTTAAAATTGTTTCTATTATGTCTCGCAAGTTCTCCAACTTTGTCTTTTCTTCCTAAATATTTATTCGAAAATTATAACTACATATGTTTAGCAACAAAAATCTAGCCTGGGGAATTGCCCAGGCTGGCCCAAGTGTAAATCCGCCACTGAGTTTTGCAATGCCTTTCTCATGCGTAAGAGTATGGTACCCCATCTCTCGTAACTCTTCCCAGCGTTTGAGTACTTCTCGAATGCTTTTCCCTAAACCAAACAGTCGTTTCGGTTTGAACTCTTCGAATTCTTTGAGCTTCCTCAGCATAATATTGTCGGGCTTTAGGCTCGACTCTCTACAAGTCTTATGCATCTCGCAGGCAGTTGATGTGTTCTCGAAAATGCTCTAATAAATGAGGGTTCGACTCCTCGAATAACAAGCTCGGGAAAAGTAAAGGAAAACGGCTCGGACGGCTAGCATGCGGCCTCGGTGTTCTCGGATGTCCTGCTTGCGTTTGGTGAGTTTGGGCGCCCTTGGTGCTCTCGGATAGTATCGATGGAGGTCGGCCCGACTGCTCGCTGTTGGATCTCCTCGGCGACGGGAGGATGTTGTACGTTCGTGTTGGGTTCTATTAGGAACGACAACAAAATGCACGTTTGAATATTGGAAAAATAAACCCTAATGCAGCAGAATCTATAGTTAGGGTTAGGACATTACGGTTTAAAATTTTTGCCGACTAAGAGACATTTCTGATTTTCTTTGATGGAGATTGTCTGATTATCAAAACCCGATGGGCTGACGGGTTTGGCCTTTCTCGATTCTGATCGAGTCTCTGAAACACGAACGGATCGCCGGATCGGGCTCATCGGGCTTGGGCCGGTTGGATCGGGTTCGGGTTGCCAGGTTGACTCAGTCGGACCCAGGTTGACTCGGTCGGAACTCGGACGGGTCACGTCTCGGATCTGGTTGGGGCTATTCGCGGACAGACGCTGGCAGATGGCTCGGGTCACGTCTGGCGCTAGTCGGGACGTGCGGGTGCTGGAGCAGACGCGGACAGGTGCGGATGGCTCGGGTGCATACAGGAGCAACACTCCTATGCCTAGGCGATCGGGGCTCGAGTGCGTTTGGGAACACGCGGGCGTGTGGTGCGGGTCTCTTGGTCGTGCGAGGAAAGGCGCGCGCGTGTTCTATCGCGCGCTGGGAACGGGGTCGCTCTGATCTCGGGACGACAATCAGCACGGGCTGGAAGGGATGGCGTGTGGTGGTCACGGGGCATCGCTGCTGGGAGCTGGTTCCAGCGCTGAGCGGCACACGGCTGGGCACGGGATTACGCGACTGCGTGCGGTGGGCGCTGGTGACTTCCGGCGGCGGCAATTTCCGGCGACTCTTCGGCGGCAACTGACCGGAAAATAGAGGATCTAAAGGGCTCGATTTATCTTACCTTAAGATCTTCTAATGTATGATCTGGACACCTACTCCGAAAAATCTTGATGGGCGATTTTCCGGATCTCTCGAACTCTCAATATCTAGAACTCTCAAAAACTCCTTCTTCCCTTAGAAATCCTCAGTTGGGCGTGTGGCTTAGAGTTACGGAGAGAGTTCAAGACATGGTGTATTTATAGACTATATTAGGGACCTTAAGGAGGTGCTAAATATGGGCTTATCCCATTAGATTAAAGAATCCTAATTCCATTTTATATATCTTTCCAACCTAGGGTAGAATTTCTCCTATTAATCGTCACCTTCTAGAAGACTTTTAGTCCCTAACCCTAGGTAATATTCTAGAAGGAATATTCATTTCCTAATGGAATATTATTTATGGAATAAAATTAATTCCTTAATCTAAATAGAATTAAACAATAAAACATTTCCACTAGAGTAATATTATTGCTCTCCCTATTTAGCACCAATTTATTCAATAAATCAAACCTCCAAATAATTAATTAATATTAATCTAATTGACCGATTTACCTTCTCATGTTTAAGATATAACATCTGTCAATTAATTTAATTACTGACAATCAAATTAAATTGACCTCTTCATTTTCAAAATTAGTACCACTCAGTTCATTAATCATTATGCCGGATAATTATCCACCAGTAGGGTTTGACATAATATTCTTTTCTGAGCTCATTTCAGGGACGTCATCAACTCAACGCACTGAGACATAGTGATTATAAATAATTTATAACGGCATATTGTTGATGTCGAAAATCGGACGATCAACCGTCAAATATAATACGAATTGCTTGTATGAAAAAATCAAGAACAAAACTATTAAAAAGGATGTTTTTATTTCTTATTTTTTGGAGAGAGTCTCATCCAACCGCTCCTACTCTCTCTCTTGCGTTGTGTGGGAAGGGAAAAATGAAGAATAGAAGAAGACCCCCTTCTCTCTCCTCATTCTTACATATATATACAAGTCTACCCCTTTTTTGCAAGTGGGCCATTGAAATAAATAAAAGGTTGTACATTATCATTTAATGAGAAGTAGTCATTGCGGGACCCGCTAATGGCCCTTGATGGTTCCGACCGACGTCTGTCTCCTCGGCTCGGTAGCAGTGGACTCGACATTTGGGAACCTGGTCGGTTTTTTAGGTGATCCATCTCGATAACCTGTTCGTATATTCATTTATTATGTATTTTTGGCTCCTCGGTTGTCGGGCTGTATTTCATTATTTATTTATTATTTAATTAATTGGAGCCAAATTGGGTATCAACACATATCATATAAACACTCTTACTTACCAAAATAGCGAGTATGTCATCCTAGCAGAATAGGAATCACCCTTGATAAATCAAATAAGTAAGTAATGAATATATATGGCCATTTTATATTATCTTATAGCTTAAGAGAACGCATCGATTACTGAAAGTATAGATTGTAATATCAATCAGTAAATCTTATAATCTTATCCTTCCGCGGTCTGTTCAATACTTATCATAAGTACTAGTGTAATCCATCAGTTAAATACCAACTGATTCAAGACTACACTACAGCCTTTTCCAACAGGGGTCTCACTGCCTGTCTAAATAGAGAACAATTAATTTATATTTTACAAGGAACCGATAATATGATCTTTCTGTTCGACACGACGAACCATATTATCGATAGTGTAAAATAATGGAGTTATGATTGCATAAATAAATAAACTGCAAACATAAATACTTACTAAAACACGATTGCAAGATCAAAATGGTATTGTTCATATCTGAAAGCCAAACTTTTACAGCATATCTAACAGTTCGGGTGTGGAATAAGCACGACGGAGGCTTGTGCGATGCTGAGGGGTGACGGGCCTGCGACTGCCGGATCGAATTTTGGCAAGGGGGTGGCGTCGAACGGCTACTCGCTCATGTTAGTGTTATATACTGAAAGCTTGGTTTTGCATATTATTACACATTTGCCCTTTATCAATAAGAATCATGTTAGATTAAACAAGTTCTATGTTCTGTTGTTCTGCACTTAGATAGAGTGGGTCGTCATCGGGCGAACCGAAGATCACTCTATCAGTTACTTGCGAACAGGAATAGTTGTTCACAACCTAGATGGACATGAACACCCTATCCGAACGGTTGTAGTGTCAAATGTACAGTTTGTCTTGACTGATTAGTTGCACTAGTACATTTATGTATTGAACAGGATCCCAGAGAGGAGAAGTTTATTTTATACTGATCGTCATAAATGAACTAGGTCTCGGTTAATTATTGCGTTCTTAACCCGTAAGCTATTAAACAAGCAGATATATATAATATATATTACTTTGATTCACTTGGGTAAGGTTCAGTTCACTGGATTAATATTCCTACTATTTTGGGTAATATTATTATATGTAGGATGTGCTGTTAAGATATTTACGGCCACCATGTGCGTTAGTTTGATGATGTCCCCGGAGTGAGTCAATGAAGGATTGTTATGCTAAACCCTGCAAGTGGATTAAGTTCCGGCATAATAAGAATGTGATGAACGAGCGCTAGCTTCGGTGAAATAATAATAAATTAATTAATTCTTGATTGTCAGTAATCGAATTAATTAATGAACATTATATCTTAACGTGGGGAGGTAAATTGAGTAATTATTATTGAAGTCTCAAATGTAATTTGGGCTAGAAAAAGGGAGTGCAATAATATAATGTTGGTGACCCATTAATATTATTTAATTAATTAGAGGAGTGGGTTTGACCCACAGTTAGTCTAATTAATTAAGAAACTCTATTTCTAATCTCTTAACGGTCCCTACTGTAGCTCTATATATACATCATTAAACTCATGAGAAGATAAAAAAATCTCTTCATTATACACAACCACGCCCTACGCCTCTCTTTCTAGTTCTCATTCGAGATTAATCTTCTTCTTGTTGCTCCACTAGTACAAGTTGAAGAAAGGTGTATTGAGTAATACGGTAGAAGATCTGTAGGTAAACCGATACGAAATATATTTTATCCTACAGAACTAACCGGAGGTCCGATTGAGAAGTGCAGCATACCCAGATGACCGTCTCGACGAGACCTTTCCATAGCCGCCGAGACCGCCACCGTCCGCGCCGCACGCGCCCTCACGCGCCACCGGAAGGAGTATGGCTGCAAGATCCGTCTTTATCTGATTGCACCTATTTTATCTGTTTTTTGATTTGATCTTGTTCGTGCAATCCCAAGACTGATTGCGGTCAACTGTTCGTGGTCAACCAGATTTATATAAATTTTAAGCTGTAAGTTCTCTCCGTCAAACCTTTAGATCTGCTGCGTATAGGTTTACGTTTGCTATTGAATTCGTGATTTGTACATAACGAGATCCTCACAGATCCCAACAGCTCGGCCTCGGCGTTGGATGAGCGTGGACAGGGGCTCGCTGCTCGTGGACTGAGGCGTCGAGAGGCGTGCTGCTGGGCGATCGGACGTGCGGTTGTGGTGCGTGCAGGCAAGCGGCTGGAGCGTAGCGCCGACGGGCTGGGCGTCGGGATATTCAAGCCGAGGGATGATAGGACTTGGGGGCGATTTTTTCTGATTTTTTGAGAGGGAAAGAGAGATGCGAGAGCTATGTTTTTTCAAAATTTCTCAAGGCAAAAGAGATGCTAAGGGGCGTGACAATAAAAGGAGAGAATGGGGGAAATCTGATCTCTCATAATGTGGGGAGTTAATGGGAGATCAAGGGTGATGTTAATACCAAAATGACACACCAAAATGGGTTAATTGAGGGGATAAAGCGAGTGGTGTGAGGCTCCTTAGAGCTGGTCAAAACCATTCCAAAAATAAGCCCTTCAATTCAAAATTTGAATAAGTAAAAAGGCTACAAAGTTTTAAAGAAAAACCATGCATGAGGGGGCGGTCATTACATGGTATTGGGCCGGTTTTTTCTCCATTACATGGTATTGGGCCGGTTTTCTTCAAGAGTTGGGCCGGGTTTTAGACTGGAAAATGGGCCGGAAAATGACCAAAAAGGTTTGAGTCCAAAAGCTCGAGAAAAGATCGAAAATGGCTCGAAAATAGATCTACGCGATTGAACAAGGAAATTCCGATCAATTCGACGAGCGAATTTAAATCGAACGAAGATGGGGAACGATTTTCAAATAACAAAAGCATAAGAATTGGAAATAATTTAAGTAGATCACGTCTACAAAATTATTCGACTTAACAGATTAACTAGACGAGAACATCTAATTAATTAACAGAAGTTAAAACAAAGATTTGCGTAGCAATACAACTAAAATAAAAGCGAGACGAATGAATAAATAATATAAAAATACGCTAACTTATCTAAAACGAACTAGTACAGAGCCCGTGCGATGCACGGGGTGCACAATTTTAAGGTTATTTATCCAAGCTTATAATTATATACATAAATAAAGAAAAATATACGAGATATATATAGTACGTGACCCGTGCGAAGCACGAGATATATTTATTTGGTAAATATTATATTATAAGATGCAATATTCAATAAAAGTTTATAATACGCAAAAGAATTGTACAATGTTCAATAAAAGTTTTATAATATTCAAGTGGAGTCTTAAAGTCTCTTGTACATTAAGACTACTGACAAAATAATATTTTAATCAATGAGTTTCCTTTCCTTGTAGCCAAATTGTGAATGTGATTTGAGGAGTACAACAAATCGATATATAGCTGACTTGCTTTTTTCATTGTAGTTTTTTTTTTCTTTTTTATAATGAATTTAAAGATATTCTAAAATATAGTAAAAGTTAATTTTTTTATTACAATTAGAAATTTTACTAAATATAAACTCTCAATCTATGGTGTTAATCAACGTTTAAGTCTACAAAATTAGGAATTTTTACCTCTTTTAATCAACGTTTAAGTCTAAAAAACAATAGAGTTATTATAAGTTTTTTTTCTACATCTTTTAAAATATTAAATATGAGCATGTTAGGGTTAGCTTGTAAA